ATAACGTATTGATTAATTTCATACACATTACTGTTATGTCATATATAATGGGATTCCTATTCTTCGTTGTGTTTGAGTCTCCGATTCTTGAGTTACAAAAGTATGGAATCGAGTCTTTCGGACGAAAACATGAGAACAGAGATAAGACTTCAGTTGAACGCAAACTTAATACCAAATCTGATTTGAATAATAATAGTTAATGTTATTAATAATCATTAATTACTGATTATTATAATAATCTGTATTTTACATAAGTTATTAAACTTTTAGTCGTAAGTGCTTACTTTAAAATCTGGATGTAAAATGTTATTTTTATTAATGTAACAATTTTTATTTATTGTAATCTGGATAAAACACAACAATTGAGACACATTTAATTTAAGTTAAATCACAATTCTTGCATTAATTTAATTAAAAAATTATTTCTCGCTCATTGAATAAAAATTTGAATTTTTAATATATATTTTATATTTATTGAATAAAACGGTCAAAATTTCTATCACTAAAACTGTTATTAAATAAACCAAAAGTACTTAAAAGTTTTGACAGTAATTCCGAAGTAATGTCTATATTGTCTAACACAGGAAGTGTTGTCATATGCGATGACATATTGGGTCTCATATTCAATGAATTGCCGGTCAAAGACTTATTTTGCTTCCAACGAGTGTCTCAACAGTTCCGCTATTGCTGTGAAGAAACACTTCGGAGAACACAATCGCTGGCCATTGGATGCCATGAAAAGCGCAAAGACTACGAGGAGAGCGAACGGCTCATCAAATCCATTACCGGATCTATTGATCTGATGGCTATTGATGTGAGTCCTGCCGTTTTGAATAAACCCTTGTGTCAAATGGAGTCATTCCTCGCGAAGTTTCGTGCGGTTAAAAGATTATACTTAAAAGAGGTTTGGTTTACATTTAAAGATATGGCAATAACTGTCAAACAATTGCCACGTCTGGAGGAGATCTACTTCTTTGATTTTGAGATCGAGTCACAGAAGAGGAGGGTTCAGACATCCAGACAATGGGCTGACCTTTGGGTTAATGTGAAACACATTGCAATCGCAGGACTTAGAGCTAAACACGTGATACTTATGGCAAATATCATACGACAGTTGACATCACTTCAGAGTCTAGTGGTCTATGATATGCCCATCGAATCGGATTTACTCGTCGATTGTCTGCCCGCAAACATCCGGTCATTGAAAGTAATGAGAGATACATTTGACACGCAATCCATTCAAAGTCTGACCACAAAGTGCCGTCAAATCCAAGAACTATCGCTCAGTTCTCATATCGAGAAACGCTTGAATATCAATGAATTCAATGAATTTGACGAATGGTTTCTTATGATCTGCAATCGTCTTAAAGAACTCAAGAGTCTAAGCATTCCTTTGGCAGAGATTTCTTCCGAAGTGTTGGCGGAAAACATTGTAAAACTATCAAAACTAAGACATTTGGCGATTGAATCACAGCCTTCTGGTTCGATGCTCTTCGACACGACATCAATGACACCAATGAATACCATTCGGTCACTCAGTTTGTATGGCATTCAATGCTCACCAGAAATGTGGTCACAATTTAAGAAAGTTTTGCCAAATTTATGCCGATTATCACTCGATGCCATCAATTGTCACATCAATTGTATCCACTCTTTAGATGAAAGCAAAGTATGTCTAAAAAAGTGTTTCCAGAGGTCTATGAATTCAGTGGCAAATCAAAAAGGACTCAAAGTCCTGTCATTCGGATACCAAATGAACGGATACCGTTGTCACTACGACGACAATGTCTTGAAAGTCATACATCTGTTCAAACATTTGGATCAGCTCTGCATCCATACAGACATCGATGGAATCACTAAAAATGTGTACAAATTCTTGACCAAAAGTCTATGCGATAGGAACCGAGCCTTTCGTTTGGGTCTATTGTCTGAACAATTGGATGAGTTTTTAACGAGAATGAATGAACCGGACGTTCAAATGCCCCCATTCTTACGTATTCAAGACTGCGGACCCACTGATCACTATTGCAATTAAGCCACACAATCGATACCTATTGGACAGACACTCATTCACTTATAGAAATACAATTCAAAGTTTCATTTATTCTTAAAAACTATTTTAAATTAAATAAAAGAAAGTTTGAATCAATAGTTTATTGAATTTTACAAAAGACAAGTGAAACTATTTTATTAATTAATTAATGACAAAATATAAATAAGCAAATATTCTAACACTAATTTGTAAACTAAATTTATATATTCTACATTATTATATAAATACTTATATATTTTGGTTAAACCAAAAGCAGGTTATTCTGTCACAATCACAATGTTTATGGCATGCAATTACAACGATACCAACCATAGGTTACATCACAATAACCTCTCAAATGCTATATTAAATAAATAATATCTTTTATAAATAAAATAATAATTATTAAAAAACATGTTTAAAATTAAATGTATTTCTCAATTATCAAATCAAACACCAATACATACGCCAATACTTTTGCAGTATTCATCGCAAACCAAATCATTTCTATCCAATGGACCGTTACATCCAAAAGCCCTGCCATTGACTCCAATGGCATTTGCTTTGCCATTAACTGATCCAACATTGGATTTATTGACACCAACGATGACTGGTTTCGCACATATTGTTTGCACTAAAATCAATACCACAAATGAGACGTAAAACATGACAATTGTATTAAATTTTGATTGCATTTTCCTCGTCAATAAAAATTGCTTTATATATCAAAACGATTGGATTATATTTGAATTCTTTATGCATTTATTTCAATGGCTTTTATATGTTTTTGTGACAAATATTTTTATTGTGTTTTGGTTTTCGATTCATTAAATTGTTTTATTGCGGAAAAGTTTTATCCATTTGTTTAGTAAACAAGTGATGGATATATAAATACTGTCTATTATCTCGCAATCAAATTACTTTTGTTGATCACTTGATGTGTTATTTTCCAAGAGATAAAGATTAAAACATTTGCAATACATGTAAAGTATGTAAATGTACAATATAATAAAGTTTTATTATATTTTGCAAATCCCAAAAGGTCAATGAAATTGTATTTATTGTATTTTAATAAATAATTTAATAATAAATATTTTTTAATAAGAGCCTTAATAAATAAATTAATGTGAGTGATGCAAAGTTTCTCATTTTAATTTAATATAGGAATATTCTGGCGATAATTCTATTCAATAGCATAAAAATGTGTTTAGAAATGCAATCAATACCTATAGATGTCTTTGTCATCGATTTATCAATCGAGTATTTCTCTGTTATAATTTATAAACTATCCATGATCAACTATTTCTTTTTAGTTATTACTAAATGTTAAACCATAATTAAGTTTGCATACAACATAAATTATTTATTATTTAATTATACTAGTTGGATATGGATTGGTATAATAACTTGTTGGCATATGGTTTGTTTGTACAACAGCTACATGATGTAAATCATCTAAATCACAACTTATAGATTAATACAGTATTGTTAAGTTAAATCATTGCTTAAAATAGTCTTAATTTAATTTATTTGCAATTTTTTTACTAAAATAATGTTTAAGTATAATATTTATGTAAATTTCCATAATAATTGTGACTTTTATTATAATATTTCAACGAATTCTTTGCAGAATTTACTCATCATTTTTGATGAAACACTATATAAAGAAATTTTGTTGGTTTCCAACGCAATGATTGCATTATAATTAAAATACACTTTTATTATATTGAAACAGTAATTGGGAAAAAATATTTACCTAACGATTAATATTATAGAAGAATCTTAAATACGCAAATTTGTAAATATTTTTTTGAAATATTTTTTACTAAATTAGGTCTCAACACAAGTTTATTTGATTTACAAAATAAACATTTTTCATGGATATAACTATTCAAATGTTTGACAACTCAAACAACAAATCAAATCAATAAATGAATTTGTATTGAAATTGATTATATCATCAAATAGTCGAGAGA